TCTCTCCCTCTCTCTCAGTCTCTCTCTCTCTCTCAGTCTCTCTCTCCCTCTCTCTCAGTCTCTCTCCCTCTCTCTCAGTCTCTCTCTCTCTCTCAGTCTCTCTCTCCCTCTCTCTCTCTGTCCTTCTCTCTCTCTGTCCTTCTCTCTCTCTCTGTCCTTCTCTCTCTCTCTCAGTCTCTCTCTCTCTCAGTCTCTCTCTCTCTCTCTCCGTCTCAGTCTCTCTCTCTCTCCGTCTCTCTCTCTCCGTCTCAGTCTCTCTCTCCCTCTCTCTCTCTCTCTCTCTCTCATGTGCGCGCGCCTCCTCCCTTCATTTCCTCCTCAGCTCTCAGTCGGTCTGATGCGGAGAAACTAGAAATCATGAAAATGACGCTCGAAGGTAAGAAGTAAAAACTTTCTGCTCTGCGGACGTTTGACCTGAAATTGTTGCGCAAAACGCGCAGAAGAACGAGTCTGACTGCCGAACCGAACCGAACCGAACCTCCGGCCGAACCGAGACTTTAGAAACAAAAATCAGATTGGTTGTTTTTAACTCTTCAGATGTAAAGAAACTCCGTGTCTGTCCTGAAACCAAACAAACATGGAGTTTATTCAGAGTGAAGAAGAGTGAATTGGTTCTGTTGACCTGAACACCTGAGGAAAGGTGACAAGCTGCGCTCGTGTTGCGTTCAAGAGCTGTCGGGAAAAAAAAGGCAAATCTCATTCAAGCGCTCGTATCGGTTTGTCTGTTAGTAAAATATCTCCTGAACCACGGGTCGTATTCTGATGAAACCTTCAGGGTGTGGTCTCTGGATGAACTACAGCTGATCTGCTAAACATCTGACAGATTGTGAGAGGTTTCACCAGTTCACACTTTGGTTTTCCTGTTTGCTTTATCTTTTTTCCAACTAATTTCATCACAGCTTCAGCTACTTTAAACATTCATACTGCACAATGTTTGGCTCGTGTAGGACTTTACAGCTAGGATTTTTGTTTTTTGTAACATTATACTTTTTTGAAATATTTTGCATTATTTATGACAGCTACGGAAGCTGAGAGCGGACATTTTTTGTATTTATACAATATACAAAGCTTTGTTATCTTGACAAAACCACATTTATGAATTGTAAAAAATATATATGCTGGAAAATCTCCACTCAGCTTCTGTACAGAGCTCTCTAAAACTTTGCATTTTTAAATCTATCCGCATGTTTGCCCCTTTTTTAGTTTTTAGCTACTGTTTTTTAATTAAAATCATGACCTAAAAGATAAGTTTTAGTTTTATATAATCAGACAAATTTTGACTTTCATAAATGTTTTGCCAATGTTTGTATTTAGCTACCTTTCTGATCACTCTAGCTTTCAGCTACTGTTTTGCTAAAGTTACCTTAAGTCAATGTTTAGCTACTGTTCTTATAATATCAGCTTACAGCTACTGCTTTACTGTTTTGTTTGTTAGCTCAAGTGTTTTGCTACAGTTAAGTTGGTTTTAGCTTCCATCTGTAGCTTGCTACAGCGTGTAACTTGTCAGACCTCTGAAGGTTTTGTTTAGATTCGTGAGACTTCTGAAGGTTTTTTTGGACTTGTCCGCAGACTTGGATATGTTTATTTGCACTTGTCAGACATCTGAAGTTTTTTTTTGGGACTTGTCAGACCTCTAAAGGTTTTGTTTGGACTTGTCAGACCTCTAAAGGTTTTGTTTTGACTTGTCAGACATCCGAAGGTTTTGTTTGGACTCATCCTCTGACTTGGAGATGTTTACTTGGACTCGTCAGACATTTGAAGTTTTTTGGGGGGACTCGTCAGACCTCTGAAGGTTTTTTTTGGACTCGTCAGACCTCTGAAGATTTTATCTGGACTCGTCAGACATCTGAAGGTTTTATTTGGACTTGTGAGACATCTGAAGGTTTTATTTGGACTTGTGAGACATCTGAAGGTTTTATTTGGACTTGTGAGACAGCTGAAGATTTTGTTTAGACTTGTCAGACCTCTGAAGGTTTTATTTGGACTCGTCAGACATCTGAAGGTTTTATTTGGACTCGTCAGACCTCTGAAGGATTCTTTCTGTCTCTGATCAACACGTGACTCCAGAGCTGAACCGGTTTATTGAACTTCTCAGCAGCTGATCCAGGTTTATGGTTTCAGTTAAGAACTGGTCCCACCTGTTTCTGATTCAGTTTTTGTTTCCGTCACATTGAGTCACAATAATATAAAATAATCAAGTTGATTTAATAATATAAATTTAATATTTTAAAGTTGACCATGCAGTCGTTGGGTTTTATTGTTTTAACCTTTATTTAACAAGTCAGATCACAGATCTTTTATAAAGGAGGCCTGGGACTGAAAGCAAACTATTGAACACATTTTTGGTCTGTGGGGGAAACCAGAGTACCCAGAGAGAACCAACAGAAGCATAAGAACACGCTAACTCCACACACCTCCACCTGTGAGCCTGCAGCTGAACTTCAGCCTCTTATTTTTTTAAGATTTTTCTCCAGTAAACGACCGACACGCCTCTTAAAGAAGCTTCTTCTGTTCTGAAAAGTTGCTAATAAAGTTTAGTTGCTCTCTAGAGTTGCTCTCTGTATGGAACTGGTTTTGGTCCAGTAAAGCAAGAACTGACCTGAAAACCTACAGGATCCAACAAGCAAAACCTCAGCCAAGGAGGTTCTATAGAACAAGTGGAGTGGTCAGAAACCACTTGACCGTGTGATCGGCTGGTGAAGCTAACGGCTAACGCTAAATGGGTAAAACTCTGGATTTCCCATTACTGTACATGTTGACAACAGAGCAGAGAAAAAGACTGACGATGTAGAAATCATTAAAACTATTAATAATAATATTAATCCTATTATTATTAATATTTTACAGTTTATATAATCTATCTAATGTTGTAAATATTGTCAGAAAAGCTGTTTGTGTTATGGATTTATTAACAGAAGATAAACAGGAAAACGTCTCATTTCACAACACAAGTCAGCAGATTTGATCTTATTTAGCTCAATGTGATCTGAGCAGAACATAATGTAACAGTTTAAAATTAAAATAATCTTATAAAGTCCATGTAATCACTGTTATTTATTAAACTGGTTAGCAGATATTAGCTTGTGGAGCATATATACAGAGTTTAGCTCTGTTGAATCATGCTACAATTTAACACAAACTATTAAATATTACTTTGTCCTCTGATTAATATTTAGACCTACAGAGTGTAAAATAATATTATAAATATGAGTATTTTTAGGTTTCTGTTGGAGAAACCTGAACTGTTAAGAAGATGTTAGTTAATAGAGACAAGTTTCATCCTATAACCAGAGAACATTTTCTAACTGTTGACTGATAAATATAAATATTATTATTTTTTATGACAGTAAGAAGAAATAATAAATATATTTTATTACAGCTGAAGCATTTTTAACTAGCTAAAGTCTAAGTTACAGGCTGACTTCAGGTCTGGTTTAGATCATGGTTATTTATAAATTATTTTAATTTCATTCAACAATCATGTAAAACAGCAGATTTATACCAGAAAAATATATAATTATTATTTTATTGTAAAAACAGGACAGATAATCTGTGAAACAGATCCAGTTCAGCTGCTGTTTATAGTTTCTATGGAGGCTGTGAGCTGTTGGCCTGTTTGGTCTGTTTCTGCTCCTCCATGCTGTCACAGACACTACCAGTGAACGGGATGGGCGGGCCTCAGTCTAGTGATCTTATTCAAGTCTATGACCTCGGCTCAGGTTTTTATTGGGTCTCCTGGACTTTGGACTTGCAAAGAAATCTGAGCCGAAGCCCAGAATCAGTTTGTTTTATTACATTTATATGTCCCGTACTTACCTGTAACTTCTTCACTATGTTTACAGTTGTGTATTTTAAAATGTTTGTAGATTATGACAGATGCACTGGAAAAGTTTTAGATTTTGTCTGAAATATTCTCAGTGAGGCAGATTTATGACCTGATTATTGGTGGTTTCATTCCACAACCACATCACAAACCTTTACGCTATAAAACACAAACGGCATCAATATTTATTAGTTTAATGTTTAAAAAACACTTTATTTCCCCTCCTAATGAAGATTGTTGCTGCCTTTCTGGTTCTTTTCCTTTCTTACAACACTCGATGACGTGCAGCATGAAGCAGACTAATCTGTTGTTGGACTCTTGGCTTTCAGAACTCTCTGTTTTAAACTGGTTTAAAAGTTAGACCAAAGACCTGAACACACAAGACCAGCTGAGTCCCTATACATATTGTTTTGTTCACAAATGAGGGAAGAATGAAACATAAGGAAAGGAGGGCGCATTTGTGGGCCGCAAATGGATGAGTCTTCAAATCTGGACTGCCTTCGGGGAAGCATAGTGACTGGTAATCGGCCAACAAAATTAGTCCTTCAAAGAATGCAACCCCTGAATTTGGACACATTGGGCCTCATGCAAGAACATGTTCATATTCTTATCCTAAATTTGTCTTACTTTTGTTCGTACAAAGGGTTCGTACGAACACGTCAGATTCAACAAACTCTTCTATCTTCAGGAAAAGTGTGTAAATGAGCAGCGTAAACATGATGAATGTGTATCAGGTGCTCGTGCACAGAGAGAGGTAACTTACATAATTACCACCCCAAAAACACCATATAAGGATATATGTTTCCTGTCCCACATACCAGGAAGTGTCCATTCATGAATGACATCGCAAAGTAAGAAAGAAGAACTTTACGAGTTCGGAGACTGAAGTCCTGCTGTCAGAGATCCACAAAAAAAAGTCATTTTTAGCAGCATCAGCTGTGGAATTAAAGGATCTGCTTTAAAGCTGATGAATGAAATGACGACTGCTGTTAATGTTGTGTCTCCTGTGGGTCGTACCAGTCACAGAAATAAAAATCCAAATCATATTTATCTCTCTCTAGTCCTGCTCCGGTTTTTCTTTGATCAAATATTTTTAATTTCAGTGTAAACAACTGTGTTACATAGTGTTCGTTTATTCAGAGGAAGAGCGGTCGCATGCCTTTTATGTTAATTAAAAAACATAAAAGATGTGGAAGAGGATGGATGGTTGGTTGGTTGGTACAATGGATGGAGAGATGGATGGTTTGCTAGTTGGATGGACGGACGGATGGATGGATGGTTGGTTAGTTGGTACAATGGATAGACGGATAGAAGAATGGATGGATTGATGGTTGGTTGGTTGATTTGTATAATGGATGGATGGATGGATGGATGGTCGGTTCTTTGGTACAATGGATGAACGTTCAGTCGTTTGCATGGATGGATGGATGAACAGATGGATGTAACAATAGATAGATGGATGGTTGGTTGGTTGATGGATGGATGGTTAGTTGATACAATAGATGAACTGACGGATGGTCGGTCGATAGCATGGATGGATGGATGGATGGATGGATGAACAGATGGATGGAATAGATAGATGGATTGTTGGTTAGTTGGTACAATGGATGGACAAGCTAATACCAACACATGCTAATGGCTTTTTTTCTATTCTGGATCTTTTTAGTTTTTGAAGATTTCCTCATGCCATAATTTCAGGAAATGCCTTCATCTACAACATAAATGACCAAATGACCCAATATGGTGCTCAATGTTGCAGAATAAATGCAACAAAATAAAGCTTTATTTTTAGAAACTCTGTCAGAATGAGAGCCAAGTTGATATTCTGAAGTAAAGATCATTTCCTCAGAAGCAGCGAAGGATGTGAAAACAGATTCTCGTTCAGAAACTAAAACAAACCTCAGAGTTCTTGTTGCTTTTTGAGCGACTGATGGACAGATAGACATGATATTTATACTTCTGCCAAAACTCTGTTTTTAATACTTCCTGTTTTCAGCAACACAAACACAAATCTAAACCATTTACTGCATCTATTAAATTCTTCAATGTTTTATTTAGAGGCTGGTGAAAATGTTTTAACCTGTGTTTTTGTCTTTAATTCATTGGGTAAAAAAACAGGAAATGCTTAAAATACAAGACACAATAAAATAAAGATAGTTTTTTGTCCTAACAGCTGGGCTCCATCCCACATACAGCGATGACCAGTAGGACGAGGCTGTGGGCGGAGCCAGAATGAACACTGAGGTTCTATTGGAGGAGACCCTCATCAAGCGTTCACAGCAGAAGAAAAGGACGTCGCCGCTGAACTACAAAGAAAGACTGTTTGTCCTCACAAAGACCCACCTGACGTACTATGATGGAAAACCAGAGGTCAGTTTTATGTTTGTTTTTTCAAATAAATATTGAACAATAATAAACAAAACAATGTTGGCATCCGCAGGAAATACTTTATATACAAACAGGCAGAGAAGGGCGTATGGAGCAGGTGGAAGGGAGCCTGGAGAGGTGGAAGTTAAAGTCCCAGAACAGCTTTGGTTTTCTAAAGGCTATCCCAGGATCTGTTTGAAGACTTTGGTGCAGCTTTAATTTCTGTAAAGTTGGACTTTGATCTCATTGAAATTTAGTTACAATTTCCCCCTGGGGATAATTAAAGTATTCTGATTCTGAGTTTCTGTAAAACTATTAGCAGTGGTGTGCAGGGTTCTGCTAAACAGCTAACAGTGGAACAAATTTGTTGTTTTGCAAATTAGCTGTTTTTGCTAACGTTGAAAACAGTGAAGCAGTTACCTTTTGCTAAATTAGGTTTTGTCCTCTTTAAATCTGCTAACAGCTAACTAGCACAGTTATAAATACATATAGACTAGTGGTGGACATGGGTCCACTGATCAGCTATTAAGCTAACAGCTAATAGCGGAACAAGTTTTTCTTTTAGCAGTATAGTTTTTTCACTTTGAAAACTATTAGTGGACAAGATTTCAATAAATTAGGTTCTGCCCACTTTGATTCTGCTAACAGCTAACTGACATGCTAACATCAACATGTTTGTGTCAGTTCCACCAGTCCTATCCTAACCTGGAAGGAGACAAAGATGTGTGACGTAGACTGATGCTGCGTTCCAATTGTATCGGACTGACGTCTGTTCCGAGCTGATAGTGTTTCAGTTTCAAACATCGGAAAAAGCGTTTCTACATTTTGCTCTGCAACAATAAAACGTACAATAATAGTGCTCTACAAGGTATTTTGAGTGTACAAAGAGTGTTAAAACATATATTTTAACTATCACTATAAAGCAATACAAGAACGTCTGACGTAATGTAAAATAAACAACACAGAAGCCGCGTTTGTTTACATGCAAGACTAGTAGCATTAGCGGTTAGCTCAGACAAGCATGCTAGTACGCTACATACATTAAACAAATATAAAAAGGGAAAATAAACAAATAAATTACACTGTTTTTTATTCTGCCTCCTCTCTTCTTACTTTCTGTCTGTTAAATAATGGGGATGGTACTTGTGTACATATGATTACAGCTCCACATTAGCCGTTAGCTTAGAGAAACATGCGCGCAGCAGCCATGTTGAAATGATGACGTAACGCATGCTCGGGCTGCTCGAGTATGGTTTGGATGCGCTAACCTCTCGACTCGAAACTACGACTTCAGGGGGCGTTCCAGTTGAAAAATAGAACTCGGAGGCTCGAAGCTACGACCTCCAAGGACAACTGGAACACAGCATGAGTGACAGTCTTCTTAGCTTTAGCAATTAGCTGTTAGTGTTAGCTTTCGCTGTATTGTTTGCTTGTTTAGCGGTTTAGCGTTAGCAAAGTTAGATTTTTTTTTTAGTTAGCAGATTATGAGTTAGCAAAGCTAACATTTTTGTTAGCTGTGGCGGCCATCTTGATTTGAAAACACTAAATTTTAGCATAGTATCTATGAAACTGGATAAACTTCAGGCATTTTGGCGGCTATCTTGGACTGGGTTGACTCTGAATGTGAATGAATTGTAGACGCTCATTGAGTGATTAGTCCCTGAAAGTTTGATTAAACTCCTTTTGATGGTGTAGGACAAGGCTAATCAACTTGTGGCCCGCGATTGAGCAGTTTGGCCCGCCAATTTGTTCATTCATCTCTTAAGCCCAAACCGCCAGTTTTCTACTTTAATTAATATAAGCTTTTTTTGTTAAACATAGACTTGTTTGATATCTACAGAAATGTCAGAATCTTTACTAGAAGCTGGTAAAAACCATTTCTTTGAACATCCAAGACAGTTAAAACCAAAATCAGTTGAAGATAAAACTATGAAAGTGAAAATAAAATTGGTTTAAAAATTTGGCAAGTCTGAGATGTCAAAATAATATTTGTGGTAAATAAGAAGCACCATGTGGTTTTTTTTTTTTTGTTTTTGTTGTTTTAATATCACTACTTTTATTACACAGAGTTCTGTATTTTATTCATGTTTAAATACAGCAAAATCAACTATTTCAAAGGTAACAGATCTTTGTAATACTTGGTTTATTTACCTAATAAATTTAATTGCTGGATGTTCGGCCCCTCAGCTGTTGACCTGCAGTAAATGTGGCCCCCGGAGCAATTTAGTTGAATAGACCTGGTGTAGGACATAATGGCAGGGTTTTAAAAACATGATTTGCAGATGACTCTCCGCTACTACCACACCATATTTTAGGTCAATATTTGAAACAGTGACTAAATTACAGTCATCACTTGGCCGTGGCAGCCTTGTTGAATCCGATGGACTCTTGTTGTTAATCGGCTGGAGGAACCAGGCAACATTCATTATCGTTCAGTCGGTTTGAAAAACTCGAGGCCTTATTTAAAGACGAAGTCACGCCGCCTCAGAGTGATGACCCGATCCATGCTGGGGAAATGACAGCTCCATCTGAGGGAGCTGCAGATCAAACGCAGCTCAAAAGTCACCCGTGGCAGCTTAAACTGACGCACCTTTTCCACCGACAGAGGAAGTTCAAGAAGGACTCGATAGACGTGAGCCGCATCAAATGTGTGGAGATCGTCAAGAGCTGCGGCGTGCCCATCCCCTGCCAGAACAAATACCCCTTTCAGGTAAAAACATGACGTAAAGACGACGCCAGGTGCACTGCAGGGAGTTGATCATGTTTCTGTTGTGTTCAGGTGGTGCACGATAACAACATCCTGTACGTCTTCGCTCCGAACCTGAACAGCAGGAGCCTCTGGGTCCAGAGCCTGAAAGATGGTGAGTCCTTGTTCTGGTCTTGAGTTTAGAACTCTAAACAAAGACAGAATGTTTTATTAAATTAACACCTGTAGGGGTCACCTCGAGTGAAGAAAATCTGCAATCAACCAGGTCTTCTATGAAACCTTAGCTGAAAAACACTTATGGTGCGTTCACACCGAACGCGATTTCAGCGTCAGGAGCAGCAGGTTTACATACAAAGTCTATGGTGGACGCGCTTCAAGCAACGTCGGGAAGTTCTGCGGCGCCTCAAGCGCGATTAGAGCAGCGCGATTTGGACGATTTGGACGATCTGAGCGTCGAACGCTCAGATCGTCCAAATCGTTCAAATCGCTGAAGTTAGAAAATCTGAACTTTTGCAGCTCGACGCGCAGCGTCAACCAATCAGAGAGACTCCACTGTGTGACGTAGTGACATATTTCCCGACGGGACAGTTTACTGAATGATGTCCACTAACCTGAAACAGACAGAGCTCCTGCTCTTTAGCTGAAATGAGTGCTGCAGTCGTGTCCTGATCCGCAGCAATGCGTGGCAGCGACTCATCAGACTGAAAAAAATAGTCCTGAAAACGAGCTGTGAGCCTCTTCTCTGAATTATCTGGTGAATTAATTATGAATTAATTATCTGATGAACGTGACACGTTCTGGCTGTCTGTAAATAAAGCAAAGCCACTTCCTCGTCCGACATTAAACAGCCCCACAGAGGAGGGAGGGGCGGGGCGGCTGTCGCCGTGCAGCGCAGCTGTCCTGCGTCTGACCTCAAAGTGCACAAGCTTCAAACTTCAGCGTTGGCTGCGATTTTGACGCTGAAATCGCGTTCGGTGTGAACGCACCATTAGGCCTACAACTGGCGAAAAAATCTTTTCGTTTCCCAACAGACCCTAACAGCAAACAGGTTCTGACTGCAACAGGAGTCATTAACCTGAAACTGATCTGGAACCTACGCGAACTGGTCCATCCGATCCTCGTGGTCCCAAACCTTCCACATTCGGTCTACATAGGTTCTGACATTTTGGTGAGACTAGGTGTCCAAGTGGACACCATCAATAATGTACAGTGGTCCCTGAAAACAACCCCAAAAGAACTTCCTGTGCTAGACACAGTTAACCTAAAGGCTGGACAGACCATTCCTGAGGTCTGCCAAGTCGCCAACAACCAACTTACCACAGTCCCTCCTCAAGCAACAAACATTTTGGTGCGAATCCACATCCTAGCTGGTCAAGCTATTGACCACAAACAGGCTTTCTTTCAACCATCTCCTAGGTTCTTCAACCTAGGACTCTCCCTCAAGGCCACAACACAGGTGAGCCTCGACTCCAGGACTTCTCTCGCTGTGTGCAACACAAACACAGAAGAGATAGTGATCCCTAAAAACACGCCACTAGGATGGTTAATCAGCACCGATTTTGATGACTTTGAACTGAGCGTTCTATTTCTGGGAGAAATTCCTGAGAATTTAATTCCAGATCACCACACTGAGCCGGTCTTGTTCACAAAACCAACACAGGCCATAACCATCTTCTCAGCCACCGATTTTGACCATGACACAGTCAGAAGGATCGATCTTGACCAGGAAGACAGCTCAGTGCCTCAAACCTACAGCGTCCTACCTGTTAAGCAGGCCGGACGACATGGAGGGGGATCCACTGGAGCTCCCTACAGAACAAGACCCCTCCTCAATTCCTTCACAGATTGAACAGGTGGTCACCCAAGCCGACGCCCTAACAACTGATGAAGAAAGAGACAAACTTCGCAAAGTTCTCCTAAAGTATGAGAAGTCATTCTCAACTGACTCATTGGACTGTGGACTGACCTCACTCCATACAGTACGCATCCCAACCCCACCAAATTCTCCACCAACATTTGTCAGACAATACAAAATCCCATTGGCAGCGCATCAGCCTGTCCAAGAAATCATTGATAACCTTTTGGAAAAAGGTATTATCAGACCGTGCAACAGCACTTACTCTGTACCTTTATGGCCAGTTTTGAAACCAAATGGGAAGTGGAGCCGTAGACGGCACCCCATGGTCCTTTGACCCCTCCTGGCTAATTTATGGCCAGTTTTGAAACCAAACGGGAAGTGGAGCCGTAGACGGCACCCCATGGTCCTTTGACCCCTCCTGGCTAATCAAAGCTCAAACAACTCGGCCCACTGT